ATTTATTTGATTGTTGGCACTGTAATGGTAGCTAGGGTAAAGATGGGGTAATAATAAATGCGCCTCGGAATAGAATTTCAAGATATATTATAGAAATGCCGATTATTATTATTATTAAGACCCCACAATTCTTAAATTGAATATTATACTTTGGAATTATTATAGTAATGCTCCGCCACCCCTGTCGGCTCAGTTGGGCTAAAATGATATTCATGATTTCTTTCCCTATCCTGAAAGAATTATGATTTTAAAAAGTCATTAATTTCTTTACAAATTCTATTTTAATTACGAATTTCTCAAAGTGCTTTCGGGGACAGATCTGTCGTAAACGGCGCTATTTGACAAAAAGCAACGCTGCAGAGTCATGTATATGTATTTAATACCAAACTTTAAAAACGCTCGTACGCAATAGCCTACCGCTGAGCTGTGTACACAACCGATAGCGTCCATATCAACAGGCGAGCACATGCAAGTATTCGGACGTAAGCGGTCGAGACCGGTCTTCAAAAAAAAAAACGTCATTAAGGCGCCTTGGATCAATTCGAGTGGCAGTAATCACGCGGCTTTGTGCAACGCGGCCTTGTTTGCGTGAAAGCCACAATCGTCCGAAACCCTCTATTCAAAAAACGCGTGCGAAAATCCCGTATAAAAGAGCGTACGCTCCAACGACTCCAGAACAGAACTCGACCTACTCATAATGATTTCAACTGATACCAATTGACCGCCCTCTATAGGCCATTTAACTCTCAAACTATGCAGGGGCTGCGGAAGCGGGTGGCTGTGGCTTTTTTTTTTAGTAGACACGTTTCATAAAAGCTCCGAAAAAGGGGTTTATAGATTGTTCGCATGCTTAGACCTCCCCACCCCCCTACTCTCAAAAACGCTCCGCGGCCCCTGCTATTTAGGGTCAGAATTCAGATTCCCTTCCTCAAAGGGATAACTTATTAAGAAAAATTATTTATCTCACATTTATACTTAGCATAATAAACATTTTTTGTCATATCAGTTTGATGCAACAGAGATTTATATTCAAAAGTTTTACTTCTTATAATTATTATTGTACTGTAATATTCTTCTCTCCGTTCATTTTAGCTTCTTCTGAATGTTTCTTAATCTCTTAATGAAATGTAAACACCAGAAGCTAGTATTTAGTGGATGCAAACAAAACATTGCAGCTGATGGGTTCGAAAATCCAAATCATGAATAGACTTCCTGCTTTTTCACTGTAGATCATAACAAAGCGAATGAAAATGGGCAGACCGTAGTTCAGATAATCCGGCTATTGTTTTCTATCATTGGAATAATCCACCCGCTCCATCTTCTCACGCAAACAGGCCGGTGAATGTACTGTCATTGTTGTTGTTGTTTTATTTAGGAAAGTCAGTCAGTTTATGACCATTTTTGCCGAATAATATGAACAAGTTTGTTTTTAATTCTAATTTACGTAAATGCACTCACATAATATGCATGTATATTATGAATAATATATAAATAATATTTGTTTTTAAGATATATAATTATATATTAAATTTTTTGGTCACGCTTTGCTTAAAATAGATTATGATTATGTCCATCATACGGACAGAATGAATTGAATGTGTATTTTCATTATATTATATTGCAAGCAAGTGGCGGAATAGAAAACAATATGAAAGATGAAGAAAACGACATTGGCAGATATATAGACAAAGAGAGAGAGATAGACAGACAGACAGAGAGAGAGAAAGAGAGAGAGAGAGAGAAAGAGAAAGAAAGAGAGATCGAGAGAGAGAGAGATGAGAGACAGAGAGAAAGAGAGAGAGAGATGAGAGAGAGAGAGAGAGAAAGAGAGAGAGAGAGAGATGAGAGAGAAAGAGAAAGAGAGAGAGAGAGAGAGAGATGAGAGACAGAGAGAGAGAGAGAGAGATGAGAAGAAAAAAAAACGTTGAAAAAACGAAATAACGCCTTTTACGTCGTATTTCAGTCAATGCCGATGTTGGCCTTTTTGTTGGCATTTTCGTGTTGCTTTTATTACCTACAAATAGCTGGTCCATTTAATTAAAAAATAATTAACGGTCGCCGTGTTTTTTTTAAAAGTGTAGCTGGATTGGTATCGTATTGGCTAAATTTCACACATTTTGGGGTCCAAAATTATCTCCATAGCAATTTTAGGTTCTAACAGGGCACTATAAATGTCATACATGTAGATAAGAATAAGAGCAATAACCATGCACTTTGAAGGCATTTGCGGTCTGAAAACAGAACTCAACTATCCCTTTAATACAAGCGTTACAAAATACCCGGTCATTGGATACAGTGCCCCCTTCCGGGACACAAACACCTGAAGCTAGTATTCAGTGAATGCATACAAAACATTGCAGATCACTGCAGATCATGACAAAGCGAATGCAATGAGGGCAGACCGTAGTTCAGATAATCCGGCTATTGTTTCTTTCATTGGAATAATCCTCCAGCTCCATCTTCACACACAAACAGGACGATGAATGGGCTGTTGTTGTTGTTCAGCAAGTCAGTTTATGACCATTATTGCCGAATACTATGAACAATTTGTTTTGAATTCAAATTCAAGTATTTACACTTACGTGTATAAATATACATGAATAATATACACAAATATATATATTTATAAGATATACTAATAATATCATTATTTTCCTTGTTCACACTTTGCTTGAACTAGATTATGATTGTACTACACTGTCGCTCATAAAGGTGGAATATTTTTTTTTTATCCCAATTTATGGAATTATTTTAAAAATAATTCAAAAATAGTAGATCTAGATAATAGTATACATTCTCAGATTTTATTGAATAATAATTTGCCAATGTGTGTTTTGAGTGACTGCTAAAGCATGTGTATGCTACTATGCTTATCATCTAGGGGACCTATGCCCTTAAGTCATAAATGACAGTAATGAGGATTAATGCCCCACAAAAGAGCACTAATATAGCACATCAACACGGTTTTGATCCTGGGGCCTCACAGTTACGAGGCCATTGCTTTGTCATTGAACCATGACTGTACGCAGCGGGGGCTAGGGTAGGGGGCAGTTTCCATAAATAAAATAAAAAACAGAAAATGCAATAAATTTTCAATAATTTATTGCATTTTACCCCGGTTCCCAACATAAAAAATCTTCTGTGTGCTCATGCCTTCAGCCATAATGCATGGCCGTCCAGAGGATTATTTTATGTTGGGGACCGGGGTAAAATACAATAAATTATTGAAAATTTATTGATTTTTTTTTTTTTTTTTAAATTTCTGGAAACTGCCCCCTACCCTAGCCCCCGCTGCGTACAGTCATGGTTCAGTGACAAAACAATAGCCTCGTAACTGTGAGGCCCCAGGATCAAAACCGTGTCGATATCCTATATTAGTGCCCTTTTGTGGGGCATTAATCCTCATTACTGTCATTTATGACTTAAGGGCGTAGGTCCCCTAGTAAATAAGCATAGTAGCATACACATGCTTTAGCAGTCCCGCAAAACACACATTGGCAAATTATTATTCAATAAAATCTGAGAATGTATACTATTATCTAGATCTATTATTTTTAAATAATTTTTAAAATAATTCCATAAATTGGGGTAAAACTAAAATATTCCACCTTTATGAGCGACAGTGTATGTTCATCGTACAGACATAATGAATTGAATTTGTATTTTCTTTATACTATATTGTTTTCTATAATACAAGCTTGAACAGAAACACATAATAAAAACTTGAATTTCTATAATATTATTCATTACTTGACTGAATGGCAAAGTGATCGCGATCAATATCAAGTCATACATATCATGTGCATTATTAGTTAATAACGCTTTCTTTCATACAAATACTCCCAACAAAGCTCCAAAAACTTAAATGCATACTATTTCACAAGAATCGATAAAAAAAATATGAATAATTATAATGATACAGTCACATGCCAATGCAAGATCTTTTTTTGAGTTTCTTTCTGCCTGAAAAAAACTAATATCCATGTTAAAATTTATTGTTAACATGAATATTTGAAGCGATGCTAGAATTTGAATTTCACCTATCTGTTGAAAATAGGGGAAACTATTATTAACAGTATCTAAACGTTGTTTTGATTTATTCATGATATTTATTAACAGTGTCATGAACAGGGTATAATTAACGGTTAACATAATCATTCATGATCTAAATATTATTTCCATATAATAATATGGTGATCATTGAAGAATGATGATCATGATCATAAAGCGTTCAAACTTTTTAACCTTAACTTGCAGGTTTTAGATTACATGTGTTTAATAAAAACAAATATAAAAAGGGCGTGTGTATATAATTATGTACGAGTGTTGTAAGAAGTGTAAACATGCGCCTGTGTATTATTGCGAGAGGATGGGAAGGCGTGCATGTGTGTTTTTATTATTTTTTTAGGGGTGAGAAGACATGAGCCCCTGGAGGGTGAGCCCTCTGGAATGTTTGCCCGCCCGCCCGTCCCCCCACCCATCACAAACTGCATCCGGCGCGCCCGGCCGGGTTGTCTGTCCGTTCCCGCTTTTCCGTTATCTCGATATCTCAAGAACCACTTAAGATATGAACTTCAAACTTAATGATATTATGTATCTCCAAAGAAAAACAAACTGGTAAGATTTTGGGGACAGCAGGTTGAAAAAATAAAAATCGCAACTGAAAAAAAATTAACAGCATAAATACCCTTACAAAAACAGAAGAAATCTTGAAGAGAGAAAGACAAGAAAAATGTGAAAAGGACCGAACAAATAAAAATAAATAAATAATAGTATTCTAGAGCGGAAGATGATAGGGAAAACGTAATAGTTTGGTGGTATTGGCAAATTTTGACAATAATAGTTTGTAAGTACTTTGACAAAGTCAAACAAAAACGACACAAAATATTTGAAAGCATTTTAGAACTACCGGTATATAGAATGATTATACGAAAAGAGTTATGTATGAAGCCTGTCTATGTGAGGGTATAGACTCGAAGTCAAATCAGACGAAGCAGTTGTTGCGGTTCTATTGGGTATGAGACCAATCTTTATTTCATGCTTCAACTAACAAAAGAGGGTAGAAGACCCTTGACTGCACGAAGTCACTTCAGTTGCTGTAGAAAATTAGGTCACCTCATCTCTAGAGAAGATTGCAATATTTGCTATCTGTAATTAGTTATTAAAACATCTGCATACCCATGTGAATTCCACAAGAAAACCAACAGAATCTATCTTTATGAATACAAGGCTTACCAAAAAGCAGTTATATACTAATAATGTCTTACTGACACGCCTTTTTAGTATTAATAGGCGTGACCCAATTACTACCAGCATGCATCCTTCATGTAAATTAACGTTAAATCTTCCTCTTCTTCACACAAATCATAATCTATCCAATTAAACTCCTCAGCAAATCTTAACATCAGAGAGTTAATTATATACTGTACTCACATATTAAGGTGTCCAAAACCAACTATAGACATCAAGAATATCAGGATGAGACATCAATTACAGCTTCATGTAAATGTAGGCACAGCTATACAACCAGTCTCATCTCTGCTCACTGCATGTATGAGCTTTAACCTGCATGCAGTGAGTGTATGTCCACTGGGGCATATCACTCCTCTTTAGTTAGGTACATTCCTTTTACCCCTGACTAATTTGCATTATGAAGAAAGAGCTATTTCTCATTCCCTCACATCTACATCTATGTTACGTAAGAGGAACAATGAACTTGGCCAAAGGTAGAGTTCGTTGTCATGGTTATAAACTCGAACAATAGAAGGGCGGATTATGAGGTACTAGGGTCACAGAATCATGAATGAATGAACGCCAAATGTGTGTGTAGTCCCGTATACCCAACTCGCTGTAATGTAACTGTAATTGTAAAACTAGTTACTGAGTTTTTCACATGTTCAATGGCAATCCTACTAACAATATGACTAACGTTAGGGCTAGCTATGTCTAACTTTTTGTTAATGTTGGTGATATTTTTTTATTTGTCTGCATAAGGCTGCATTACTTTGGGTCTGCATAAGGTTCTGTGTGTGCTCTAACGTTAGATCGAAAAGTCATAGGCCTAGAAATGTTTTAATTCATAATTGTTGTGAATGTTGTAAAAGTTACCCTGAGTTTTTTTTTTTTTTTTTTTTTTAAATAATGCATGGCTAGATTTAGGCATGATGATGATGATTCATGGATGAAACTTTGGAACAGTCTCTGCTCTGCAGTCTGCCTAACGTTAGATCTACAATGATTACCGGTAGTCATGATAATGTCTAATTATTATTTCTTCTTTTTTCCCTCATGCATATATCAGATTTCCTCATTGGAATCCTGCCCTCTTGACGGACTGGCTAGTGAAAATTAGGAGGGATTGCTGGGTACCAAAGCCATGCTCTCTCATCTGTTCCGATCACTTTGAAGAGAAGTGTTTTGACAAGACAGGACAAACAACACGACATCGTGCAGATGCTGTTCCTACTATCTTTAGATTGCAATAAGTTACATGTAATTCATTTTTGAAAGGTGAAGTGCAAGCCATATGTACATGGAATTTCTGCATTTTTTTCCTTGCCATTGTACATGAAACAGTTTAAAAAAAATTCAAGCAATATGAATGAAAGTGTGCACATTCAAGTCATGAACAAATGTACTACTGTACATGTTCATGTATTTTCCATATCACAAGATTGTTTATATATTCTGTTTACAAGCATACCCGTACTTAAATTAGGATGTACCTGTATTAAGTAAATTAACTTTGGAAAGCTGAAGTGCAAACCATATTCACATGTAGGCCTACATGGAAGTTTGTCATTTCCCCCCTTGTCAGTGGTAAAATTTACACAAGACTATTTAGCTCCATAAAACAACATTTTATGATTTGATTGTGACATTACTAGAATAAGAAGTTGCCAAATACATTTTTCCCCCTCATTTGATATACATTTTAGGCCTATTTCATGAACCTATGAGATGCATGAACTGTTAATAGTAAATTTACCTAAAATGTGACTTGCCACATATTTTTTTTTTTAAGCAGATACCTTTGTGTGCATGTGCGTCATCATATGTGAAGAATGTACCGTATCATGAAGATCACGGTCAAGAAATAAAATAAAAAATCTTCATCGAACATGTATTTCATAGATTTTTTTATTGACTTTAGATCAATGCTGGATTGCAATCATTTAATTTGTAAAGTGATTTTAAGCGGTGAGAGAGGCTTGCTAAGACCATGGAAGTACTTTCCATGCTAAGACTTTTTTTTCCTTTTAACTATTATTAAAATTTGCATGAATGTGTGTGTGATTAAATGGATGTGGAGTTATAAAGAGCAAAAAAAGGAATAACAATGTATGTGTCTGTATAATGAGGAGAGTGATTATTAAAATTTGCATGTACATGTGTGTGTGTGATTAAATGGGTGTGAAGTTGAAAGGTATCTAGAGAGAGAAGTCAAAAGGAAATGATACTGTATGTGTCAGAGAGAGATTATTAAGATATTTATGTATGTGTGTTTGATGAAATGGGAGTAGAGTTATACAATTAGGGAGAGAGCGAATGATGATCGAGGGAGAGATTTTGGGGAAAAGGACTACTAGGCCTGTATAGCTAGCTAATTCTTTTCCCATCAAAGAACTTGAGATCAACATGACAACTAGGCATTTAGATTTATTTTCTTGGGCATAATAGGCTGCAAAAAAAAACCCAAAACAGATAGAAATGTCACATTGTGAGAGAGAGGTTCAGGGAAAAGCAACACATCCGTATGTGAGGACAGTAAAAGAGATGACCAGGATGGGACCATCAACATGGCGGCGTGTTCACTCGAGCGTGAAGCCCAGTGCGTGAATTGGCTAGCCGTTGTGTGTGCATAGTGTATGCCCATGAGCCTTCTCCTTCTTATAATTCTGTGACTAGGGTGCTTGCCGTCATGAGATTTCTTCAGGGCGAGCGCGGATTACGCTGCTCCCAATGAAGTACCAGCAGTATCAGAATTTCATGTGAAAGAAAAATGGACATGCTTATGAAAAAAGAACGATTATAATGAATAATATGAAAGTACAACAAACAGGAGCAATTGATAATGTTAGTTTATATTTTGCACGATTGGAGAAATAAAGTATCGTAATCTTGAATCTTGTGCAAGAGTATTGATTTATCATAATAAGATTTTTGTTTGTGATGTGGGCAAAATTAACGCAAATTTCTAAACGAATTAATGTCAATCAATGATTTGTTACCTTCCTTCCATTACCCCCACCTAACAACAACAAAAACAAAAAGCCGGAGACACATTAGTATAATTAGGGAGGGAGGAAGACAAAAAATGTATAATGAGTGCAGTTTTCACATTTTAATGAGATTTATTGAATGGAAGAGTAAAATCAACCCAAATTTTTAAACGATTATAAACGAATTTTTATAATTCATTGCTTTCCTTTCATTATTCATTACCCTATACCCATCTAAATAATGATAATAATAATAATATGATGATGATTATAATGATAATAATAAGCCGGAGAAACACTAGCGTACGGTGGAGGGGGGGGGGGGCACGGGGCAGAATGCGGATAGGGAGGCAGACTGCACCCATAATGGCCGGGTGGCCAGTGAAGAAACAAAAGAGAGGGAGAAAAGAGGGAGAAAAGAGGGAGAAAGAGAAGAGAGGGAAGAAAAGAGATAAACAGAAGCAAGAGAAAATATTTTCTTTGGAGAGGGCTTTATACCAAGTTCAAAGAAACAAATAATATTTAAAACCTTCCGTAAAATGTGTTTTGCCTCTATGAGTTAATTATGACAATGGAAAAGCATAGTCTCCAAACAAGAATTCATGAATCAACACATTGGCTTTATGGCCAGCACGCAATTGTTTATACCGGCGAGAGAGAAAAAAAAACCTCTAGTCTTTATTTCTATTAATTGCTGGAGAATTAAATTTGAATGGGGCTCCCATAACCCGTGTGTCTAGATTGACACCTCCAAGTTACCTCCCCGAAAAAAAAATTTCAACAACTTGTTGAATTTTTTAAACAGGTCTTTTAATTGTAAACAACCCTTTTAAACGGTGTTTTTATTGTGCATAATGATCCATTCCAAATATACAGAGTACAGTGCTAATTAGACACGAACTAAAGCTAAGCTAAATAACTTAGTTTAGCCGCAGAGGGAACTAAACAAGTATGACGAATCTTTCAATGGGTTGAAAATTAATCGCAGTTTTTCTGGCTTGAAAACGACGTCACGGTCTTCGGACACACACAATGCTGCTTTTCGTGGGCAAATCGTGCATCCGGGATTAACCCAATGAGCACATGAGAATTAATCCATGGCGCCTAAATCCGAAAATGGCGCACGTTAGCTGAAGACGATTGGGCTATAAGCAAACAAGTAGGCCAGATGTCTGGAAACCAAGGAAAATTACACCAACGAAACTTGTAAGTTCCATTCTTTATATGTTTGTGATGGGTTATATCCCATGTAAATTATTAGCAGTTTTTTTTTAACTGTATCGTAGTGTAGTATTTAAAAAAATGTGCTTTAATGTACTGGTGCCAGTGTTGTGTTTTATACTACACAGCCTGGATGGTGATGCTCCTATGTGTGCTAAAATCTAAGACAAACGGTCCCTCGGAAAATGGTAATTTTCAAAATGGCGTCCATGATAGCCGTCAGTAAGCTACCTTAAAATATTAGTAAATCGTGATTCGTGTATATCTATCTTGGAAAGGTGGATTTGGTGTCTATACTTAGCCTTATGGGCTAAGTAATAATGTAAAATATGATATTGATATCACTTAGCCGAGTTTAAAAGGCGCCTTGGATTAATTCTCATGTACGAGAAGCTGCAGCTTTTTAACCTGAGACTGTATTGAGTTAATCCCGGATGCGCGATTTGCCCGCGAAAAGCAGCATTGTGTGTGTCCGAAGACCGTGACGTCTTTTTTCAAGCCAGAAAAACCGCGATTAATATTCAACCCATTTAAAGATTCGTCATACTTGTTTCGCTCCCTCTGCGGCTAAACTAATTTATTTTAGCTTAGCTTGAGTTCGTGTCTAATTATGTTTGGAATGGATCATTATGCAAAACACCGTTTAAAAGGGTTGTTTACAAGTAATAAGACCTGTTTAAAAAATTCAACAAGCTGTTGTATTGTAATGAACTGTTAGCATTTAAACAACGTTTTATCTGTGTATATATAACCGAATGAATTTTAAAAGGTAGATTTTTTTTTCGGGGAGGTAACTTGGAGGTGTCTATCTAGACACACGGGTTATGGGAGCCCCATTCAAATTTAATTCTCCAGCAATTAATGGAAATAAAGACTAGTGTTTTTTTTTCTCTCTCGCCGTTATAAACAATTGCGTGCTGGCCATAAATTATACATGTATTACTAAAAGCTCGTTAAATACCTGGTACCAAAACTCAATTTTCAGTTGTATTGAACAAACTTATTATCATGTCACACTCAAATACTTATTATTATGTGACACTTTAATACTTATTATTATGTCACACTTTAATACTTAATAGTAAAAATGTCCAAACTATTTCAAATTGCCCACATAATGTTTACTTCATTTCTTTAAATAATACCCCTAAAACAAATAAATAATAAAATATTGTACAATCTTCCCATTTTTCTCAAGAGAGTTATTATACGCTAAGCTGTTACAAGGGCGTATCCAGGATTTTGTAAGGGTAGGTGTTTATTTGCCCAATTCGTGAGAAAATATTAAGCGGTGAATCAGCCAGCCGGCGAATGAGCGGGGGGGGGGGGGGTAGCACTAATTGTTTAAACACCTAAATTGGTGAACACCTAAAACACCCCCTGTTTGCCAACGGGGGGGGGGGGGGGTCGTTTGAAAACCCACAACACCCCCCTAGATACGCCATTGAGCTGTAACATGAGCAAAAGCATATTGCCGGAGAGGAAACTATAATGATGGGCGCGGCTGTATTTCGTTAAGCAAAAAGGTCCGCGAGATCAGAGACCCCTGAAGTCAAGAAGTTATTTTCACTGACCTCCTTAGTTTCTGAAATTTTACGAGACCGACAGCCACTTCGCGGATCTTGTTACAGCCCGTCAGAAGATCCAGAGACCGAAACATAAAGAAACAAAATGCAATAAGTGACCCTTATTTCATTTCGGTCTCGGTGTCTTCGGGTAAGCTAAGATGTCACCGCAAATCGCATGCAAATATTGCATTAATAGCAGTGTGATAATCAAGACGTAAAGCATTTTGATGTTTTCCCTAAGGTTGTGAGTAATTTAAAACCAGGAGAGGTATGGGACTGAAGTTTGCCAGGGGAGTACGATGTGACGAACCTACTAAAACTCTAGGATATGTATTAACCGGCCATCAGACCGTAAATCCTATTACAAAATATCAACCGGCCCGTGGGAAGAACTCCCCAAACCTCTCATGACCAGTCCGCTCCCGTTCAGAAATTGGGTCCTTGACCTCAGCTTAGCGCAGCATAATGTAGATATTTATTGTGAGTTATTTAAGCATGAGACAAAAACAAATACATATATTCGGCATCCCGTTAACCAGTTGCTACGTATTCTCCACTAAGTCGTATTGCTGGCCTGATGAAGCAGCCCTGGAAGAAAGAACGAGAGAGAGAGAGAGAGAGAGAGAAAAAAGAAAAGAAAAACTGTTAGTTCAAAAACAATTTTGAATATCAAAAGTAATCTTAGATACTCCTGAAGTTTAGCCCAATAATTAAAACATTAACATATAATATTTAAAGCCAAAGGTATAGAACTTGTGTACAGGACTATTACGTTGGAATACATTTTTTTGCGGAAAATTAAAAGAAACTACCCGATGTGTGATGAATGCATGGAATACGTGTATTACTCAAACAAGATGAATTAAATCTATCATTCTATAATTATCAAACTAACAAACATGCCATATATGCAGCATGGCGAGTGAATAAAAAAAACAACATACCCCTGCGTTGCCAATTTCGCTTTCACTCCAAATGCAATGAAAATGACGACGATGATGAGAGCGATGACTGTAATACTAACGAAGAGCACAAATATCCACCATAAAATAAACTCAGACTCTGTTCTGTATTCTCCGGATATTGAAGTCTCGATCACGACTAGTAAATAGAAAGAGAAATGGTGATAATAATATGAAAGACATTAGGATTGACGACTGGGAAAAGAAAATATAACAAATAACCTTTTGTGGAGAATGTGCGGGGGGGGGGGTAGGGAAGGGGTATGATAAGCGAAAAGATAAGAATAAAGAGACAGAGCGAAGAAGAGAATGAAAAAGGAAAATGAAAACGTTAAATTTAATTGCATTCCATTTTAGAAATATCTCAAATGATTATATAAATCATATTAATGTAAATGAAAGTGTTAGCAGGATAATGATTTACAAACAAAATAATTTCACAACTTACAAACCGTCTGGTGGGGTGTGTTCATACGAGTCACGTATATTGGCGTAATTTAACTCAGACGCTAAAGATCAAACTTAGGCATGTAATACCAGTTTGAATAGAGTCTTACCTCGCAGCACGCACGATGGAGCTTTTTCGCTCCAAGAACCATTCTGACACGTAACCTCTGAATGACCAATCAGCGTGAAGCCTGGGTCGCACACGAAAAATGCTGTCCTGTTGTTAGGCGCCATTTCTAGGGTTCCATTTCTGGGCGGCTCAGGGGCAAAGCAAGCTTTGTTTGGGGGATAATATCATGGTAAAAAATATTTAATATGAACGAACTGTTGGCTTGATTTAAAGTGTTGTCTTTGCAAATAGGTTTGAAAGGGGTTTGACGCATCTATTTATTCCGTCATTTGCCTTGCCCTTGGTGATGATTGAAAGAAGTAGAGAAAGAACGGGGAAATTAAGGCTTGTTGAGACACACACATATTCAATGAGATACAGGAAACGAGGGAGAGAGAGAAAGTGAAAATATGTAGGTAGCCTAATAAACAGCCGAGCATATTATGGAGGGTATAAAAGGTTAAGCCTATGACAACATTTTGATACAAAATGAAAGCTTTAAAAAAAGATGAAATGTCTGGAAAAGGGTCTGTTCTCTCAAATGATCTGAGTGATATCATTTATTATTATTATTATTATTATCATTATCATTTTTTGTATTATTGTTATCATTGTTATTATTGTTATTGTTATTATTATTATCATTATCATTTTATTATCATTATTATTATTATTGTTATTATTATTATCATTATCATTACTATTATTATTGTTATTATTGTTCCTTTTATTATTGTTCTTTTATTATTATTATTATTATTATTATTTTTATTATTATACTTTTAAAGTATGAACCTCGTTTCAAACTCAATGAGCAAGAATTTTCTCTAGGCAAACACAATCATATCCTTTACCAACGGTACTTCATGAACAGATAATTATTGAATGAACTTCCCTTTAAACCCAGGTAGTACCAATGGATGGAACTCTACCTTGTTTCACGCATGATGGCGCCCCCACACTCCATAAACCATTATGACACGTGATCTCTGAATGACCTATCAGCGTAAAGTCTGGGTCACAGGCGAAGAATGCTGTCCTGTTTTCCGACGCCATTTCTAGAGTTCCATTATCAGGTGGCACAGGAGCAGAACAAGTTGAATTTACTGTGAAACACAAGGTGAAATATAGATAGTTGATATTACCTCATCGAAAAAAGTATGTTAAGAATAGTAGTGATTCAAACATTCTGTTAAAACTTTCTGGATCTGCAACCCGCGTCTTAATATTGACGGAATAGGGGGAAACAAACGAGAGTGGGGGAGGGGAGATAGGGGAGGGGAGTTGGGGGAAGGGAGATGGGCGAGTAGTGGGAATGATTGAGAAAGCTGAAAAAGAAAAAATATAAAACGGCCTCATCTAACAAAGCAATTGTTAAATTTGCTATACTGATATACTACATTATCTACACTCTATCTTCATGACCAGAATATTAATTTTGAACAGAGTATTTGGCAAATATAATTGTCATTTCATTTTGACCTCTTTCCAAAAAAGTAATTCACAAAATCCTAGGATGTGCCTCGGCCTCTCTCTTTCATTTTAGCAAACTCTTATTATACATTTAGTAAAATACTATTACATTTTGGGACGTCTCCAGCAAAATCAGTTGGTCCATTCGGCTGTTCTTCTTCAACAAAATTAGGTGTTTGTGTGGTGCCAATTGTCGTGGTGGGAGTCGTTGTTGTCCTCACGTGTACTTTGCACATTGGTGCGCCATGACTCCACGAACCATTATGGCACGTGATCAGCTCCTGACCAATCAGCTCGAAGCCTTCATCGCAAGAGAATCTGATGGATCGGTTGCAAGCTGCCACATTAAAAGTGCCGTTAGCAGGTTTCCGAGGAACTGAACACGTCGCATTAACTGAAACAGAAAAGTAACTAAATTCTACAGTATGTGAATGATGAAAGATAAAGTTTGCAGTGAAGCAGAAAATTACAAATTTATAATATGAATTATCAATATATTTTCATTGAATTCGTACTAGTATTGCTGTAATCATTTCAAACGGCCGGGTTGGTCGTTATCTCCTAATCTGCATAGTTTGATGTTAATCATGTCATAATTTTCTTTGGATCGAATAAATCATTGTGTGCAGCCCATATTAGACTGTTTACCTTCTCGATTACAAACTGGTAAATCATCGCTCCATTGTAGATCATATTGACATGATAGTGTTGGGTATCCAATCATTTCGTAGCAATCCTCACATGAGAAAGTAATATTGTCTCCAAAATATCTACCAGGAGATTCCAAAATGTCGCCGTTTGAAGGAGCAAACACCTCGGTACAGAGTAGAAAACCTGAAGAGATGAGCACAATGATTGATATTTATATGTATTTTCCAAATTTCCTCCATTGTCATGTTTAAAGAGAGGGCAATATTCAGTTTTTAATATAGAAGAATGGGACGTATGGTGATTGAAGATTTTTCCTTCAGTGTTATCTTTCATTGTGGATTCTTGCACTCAAGACTACTGTCATTATCAGCCTACGCCTACAATTTAATTATTTAATTGTTATTATCTCACTATCCTTTTATATACCTAGTTTCTTGTGTGATGTACTTCAGAAAATCAACAACGTATTAAAGCTATGATAATGACGCATCTAAATATAACAAAATACAAGATACAAGATATTTTATTTGGTCTTTGCAAACAAGTTTTTTTTTGTGAGAAATTTGGTTTCCATTGAACAAGAAATAAATGTCAAAGAGCCTGTATTAACAAATCGAATGCTGTATGGAACTATTGACACAATCTTCAAATGATAAATTTACATTTATCCATCAAAATGTTTACCTCTGGTACTTTGGATCGTTGTTTTATTCCTTAAATTAAATTTTGTACAAAGGGACCTAGTTTTTAAATGTTCTCTGAAAATAAATGTACATCCTTCAACGTCATAAAAACCTACTTTTATCCACCTCTGCCAAGTCTTTCCGCGTGCTTTGGAGCTCGTTTTGAGCATTTAGAGTAGCCACAGCAAACTGTTCATTATTCATGCTAATAGCAAAGTCCAGTGCACACAGTATATTGTCACCGCAGATAGTCGATGGATCTGCTTCCGGTTCCGGGTCAAAGGAGATTAGTGGTTGCTCAGAATTGAGATATGTGTCACGTGAGTATCCAGGAAGATGGTAGAAGAGAGACCTATCATCTTCCTCTATCAGCCCTGCAATATTTAAATTTAAATAACGTAAAGAAGCATATAATATTAATGATGATGATCAATAATCAAAGAAAATGTAGACAAAATTTGGCCTAGTCTTAAAACGATGAATACAGAGGTGTATGCAGACTGACCAAACTGTAGTTCGGGTTTTGTCCCTCCCCAGTGCAATGTGGAGACCATATAAACATAACCATGATAACTCTGATTAAACAATAAATCTAATCAACTTGTTTTAATGAATATTTTTTAAAGAGAAAGACAGGGTGTTATATTGATGATAATCTGCATTGTACTGGAGCTAACACGAGCTACTTTATGTTCCACATAAGACATCAGGACCAGTAGGTCCAAAGAAGATATTTACAGTACAGAGAGGGCACACTGCAAATTAAATGCAATCTGAAGTTGGTTTCCAATTAACTCACATTTAGTTCCAAATGAGTTGACAATGTCCTCTCCGAATGAATCTTGGGATAAAATGGTTCCATCATCAATTCTTAAATCATCATCTGGATTCCCGTTCCATGATCCTAGCAAACCTGCCGTTCTATTCTTAAATTCAGGCGGAACTATAACGATGCATCGAAGAGATTTGCCGGTGGTTTTGACCAAAATACCAAAACCTTGATCGAAAGAAAGTTCGATGCCATCTTGATACATGGAGTCCGAATAGAACACCTCCACACCTTTTACAATAACAGAAAGTAGATCGGGTTAGAAACGGAAATGTTTTTATCCGAATTTTATTTTTGTTTTTAAAAGACATTGGGAAATTAATTCTCATGGGAACTTGAAGGTCAACAACACAAAATATTTGACAGGTATCCAATAGAAAAATGGATGATTAATATGACACTATACTGTTAGCTTTTTTGGTATTTCACACGACATATACCAAGCCGTGTAGGTGCCAGGTAAACATGTCAGAGGTATAATACTGTAAGTGTCAGCGGTAGAATGTTAGAGGTAAACATTTCAGAAGTAAGAATATCTTACTCTATAAACTTTTCTTTTCCATGTAGATGAAAGAGCATATTATTATTATTATTAGTCATCATCAAGATGATGTAGTGATGTTTACCAGAATAATTTGATTTCCTGATTCGAACTGATCATGTTGATGATTATTTTTCACCATTCCCAAACAGCCTTATAGTTGAAATAGCCAAGATGCATTTTGGCTATTGGACAAACTTAAAACGTTTCTTTAGACAAAACCTCATAATTTATTCTATCTGCACCTCATAAAATAGCCCAGTTGACTACAGATCACTTCTTACATGGGTAGTCAGGATGTTACAATTCCATACAACATCATTGTATTACCTTTAAAAGACCAAATGTGGGACTGCCAAGAGTCGACCAATGAAAATGACTTATTCTCTCTTCCTATGAATACGTGGAAACCTGGATTTGTCTGCACGTGTATGATGTCACTATCACGTTGCTTTATAGCAATGGCAGTCATAACTGATGATGTGGCGCCATCCCCTTCATTGGAACAAGCATAAAGTTTGAGTTAAAAGGGAGCCCTGCAATTAAGCCCCAATGTCTTAAAAAAAGTGATTATATAAACTGTATGATAGTTGATAATGTCTTCTTCAAAATGCGAACACGGATAACTGAGCGACGGCCAAGTTTCAGATGAATGCTCCAAGTATTAAACTGGTTATTCATTTTAGAAACTCTTTTGTCATGCGATCACATGCTTTCTAGAATTATATTACTATCTTAACGAAGATTTAGCCAGGCATAAGGAGGGTTTAAACATGCAATTTAGAGTATCAAAACAATCAGCCACTGAAAATGAGGAAGTAAAAGATTTCTCATATTGTCCAATGTTGCTTGTCATATGATGACTAATCCGAAGAGGGCTAGAAGGACGTTAACACTATATAACCACAAGCTAGTCGAGCCTAACCCCTTACACTAATCCGAAGAGAGCTAGAAGGACATTAACACTATACCATAAGCTAGTCGAGCCTAACCCCTTACACTAATCCGAAGAGAGCTAGAAGGACATTAACACTATATAACCACAAGCTAGTCGAGCCTAACCCCTTACACTAATCCGAAGAGAGCTAGAAGGACGTTAACACTATATAACCACAAGCTAGTCGAGCCTAACCCCTTACAGTAATCCGAAAAGAGCTAGAAGGACATTAACACTATATAACCACAAGCTAGTCGAGCCTAACCCCTTACACTAATCCGAAGAGAGCTAGAAGGACATTAACACTATATAACCACAAGCTAGTCGAGCCTAACCCCTTACACTAATCCGAAAAGAGCTAGAAGGATATTAACACTATATAACCACAAGCTAGTCGAGCCTAACCCCTTACACTAATCCGAAGAAAGCTAGAAGGACATTAACACTATATAACCACAAGCTAGTCGAGCCTAACCCCTTACACTAATCCGAAGAGAGCTAGAAGGACGTTAACACTATATAACCACAAGCGTCGATAATAGCACATGTGCTAGTCGAGCCTAACCCCTTACAACTAAACAAAGTATTTTGGTACAATTAAGTTCAGAAAACAAAACAAAACAAACAGAATATTTAACAACAACTTACAATATACAAACTGATAATATAACATGGATTGTTGTACATATGCAGATAATTTACATAGATTTTTCATTTAGGATTTGTACTTCTCGGAGTTGAATGTTGCTAATAATCTAAAAGAATCGACAGGAGCAAAATTACTGACTTGCCTGTATCAATCGTTTCCAATCTTCCTTGGATCACAAAATCTGCTTCTGTTAATTGCAGAAGTATGTATTCACCTCTGGCGGGGAAAGTGTATTCGAGACCGTCAAAAGTTGATATGTGGGAAGCGCCAAATATAGTCGCTGTAACATAGGAAGCAAAACATCAAATGTTAACGTGTCGGGGATGAAAGAAAAGGTAATGAATTGATTTACTCGCGAAGTCCTTCAAGAGGAATGAATCTCATTGCCTGAAGACTTGTCTGTAGGTATTCGTTGAACGTGTGGTATGTTATAATATTAACATATCGGATGATGAAGAGGGAAATCGATTCGACCTTAATATATGAGGCAGCCAAAAAAATATATAGAATAGTACGAATGACGTACAATAGAATTGGCAATTAGTTCGCTTCCTTTAAAAAGAAATCTCAGATTAGAGATTTTCTAAAAAGATCTTCACATTTTAGATAATGATGTTTTTTATCTCTTTGTTCTGATACGGAAGTCGACATACATTTGACTTTCATATATATATTAATTAAGGAATATTCTAAATGACTATTCTATTTACTTGTTTACCTTCATTATATAGTTATTTGACATGTTTATATATATATATGTAATATAATATAGTAAAATATAGTTTAAAATTCTTGTCAAAGGCAGGGAACCAGACTCGACTAGCACCTGTGCTAACTCTGGTACCCCCTTAACAACAAAAGTATACACATAATCTTTTAATTTCATTTGTATAATATACTTTGTAAAACAATGTTTATCTTATTCATGTGTAATGTTATTTATCTTGTTATATATTTCATGTATTCATGCTTGATACATTTTGTTTTACTTGTTATTATTTTTTGTTGTTAATACAACTCAAAACTCAAACTCGAAACTCAAAGTCATGCACTTATTTAGCCAATGTAACTTTGACACCGTATTTCAACTGTCGTCAATATCCGCACTTTGAGTGATTAAAAACATTAAGAAGTCATGTTTCTCTAAAATATTTAGAAGAAAAGAGGAGCATCCATGATATTTCTTGATTTTCATACCTGGTTTTGGGACTTCATAGAATCTACAAGATTTAGATGGTCGGCGTGCCATGAAACGACCACAGCTCGCATCTGAGTCTCCCACGGTCTCTCCTGAAGACGTGCAGCACTGCATCTCAGGAATGACGTCATGGTAAAAGTGAGAGAAATAAGGAACACCGAGCTCCACTTTCTCATCACCTGGTGTAGTGCTGGTGAGGAGGTGCTGATGACGGGCAAGTCCGAAACCTGAAGAAGCAAATCGGTCTTCGATCAGAATACCGTTGTTGTCGTAGCAACATTCCTGATCGGCGTCATTTTGTCTGGAAAATTAAACGCGAAGCCATGATAATTTAAGAGATAAGCCCACTTTAATTATTACATCAATAACTTCGATTGGGGTTAGATTCATTATTTGGAAGTTTTGAAGAAAAAAACTATGTCGAGTCAAATGCACCGATATTGGATACATTTCCCCAGCTTATTTTCCGAAACCGATCTCAGGAGGACAACGTTTAGTCTTCATCCTTCAATTATGATCGCAAAATCATTTAAGAAATCAAGCTCAAGGCCACTTCGGTAGACAAAAATCGATGATCAGTTGTAGAGGGAAGGGGAAGGAAAATGTATCTGGGTATTCCCGTGTTCTGCAGGCTCACTGCAAGTTATTTTAAACAGAGGAAGGAGGCATTATCCCGGTTCACCAGAGCCATCTATACACAGAGATTGACCAACTTGGTTTCACGTGGTTACATTATGACGTGTAATATTATGTTTGTGCTTGCCCCCCAAAATCAGTATTCGCCAATCGCCATTTTGTACCCAACTGAAACCGGCTTGCTTATTGCCAAACTCTCCTGATCGATGACATTGGGATTAACGAGGGATTCCATTAGCATCGTCTACAATAATATGCAAATATTGCAATGGGCCCTTCTGTAATCCCACGTAGTTTATAAAGGTACCTTAGAAGAATCAGGGTATTGAGTGCCCCAGGGTTGACTTCTTAGAAGCTTTGCAATCATGTTGGGAAAAGGGTGAACCCATCTCGGCATGCCAAACTCGATTTGATTTATAAATACTTGCTAAAGGATTTGGTAAAGTTCGGTAAAAACCCTCCAGATGATTACAGACCATAATCTATATGTTAGGAACCAATTATACGGACTCATACCCGATCGGCCTTGCGACTACACAGTGAAAAGCACCGGGCCTGTCTTCACAGTTTTCTGGAAACTTTCCCCAAGCATCGTCCCTGCAGTCCTGCCGAGGGCGGTAGCGACCGAGATCTCTCTTGGCTTGACGGAGCAAACATGGACAAGCAGTGCGAGTGTCGAGGGAGCCCCGGTCTGGGAGTCCGTTGCTGTTGGTCCATTCAGTGCACCAAGATGTAGAGTTTTGCGGGAACAGCCATTGAAGAGAATCAACTTCGCTCCAAATAGCCCTCCGGATTCTGTGGTCAGAGGAAACATAAACAGATTAACAGAACCTTGAGGGTATAAAATAAGAACTTAACCTATGAGCCTTTTTACGATTTTGATAACTTTGTGTGTACAAATAAAAAGATAAGGGCTGACTTTTCTTATAAAAGATAATATGAATAGAGAGAAAATATAAATTCATGTGTTTTGATAAATTTAACGTTCGGGACTCCTTTTCCGGTTTAATGACATATGATATATAAATCGCTTTTTTGATTCCATAACTTCAATTTCTGACTTAAGGATTACGACCAAAATGTGTCCGAAAATACATTCAAGACGGAGAAAACAATTTGACTGAAAGAATTTCCGTTGTCTCTTTTTCACAACTAACCTGTTCTTGTCTTCATCGACATCCTCAATAACGCCAATTACACCCATTAGGTCTGACCCGTCTGCTGCAACATGGCGCGACTGAGGTTTGACAAAGTTCAGTCCACCATCGCTGTAGGTCACGCCGCGAGCTAACGTCTCGACAATCTCCTGATTCATGTGGTCATCGTCTGGTGAATCCCAATAGGAATAGACCACGACATTGACCGTGTCTATTCCATCAAGGTGATGTATATCCCACATCAGTTCGAGATCGCTGGATGTCAACCACTCACTCTCCCTGACCTTGAATACCATAGGTGAAGTTGTCGGAAGCTCTGCAGGACAAACCAAATGAGTGTCTCATCGTTTTATTTAATTTTTGTCCAAGCTATTTCGTCCCAAATTTTACTGCCAAAACCTGATGAATGTATCAAAAAGATTATCCAAATACAGCTTGAATCAGACAAAACTTCGATGGAAATTACATTTTTGTGTCAAGTTATGTTCAAAGTTCCATTATAAATTTCTCTAACATTTGGAACTCATATTGGGCACACATTTTCCTTGCCCATATGTCAAAGTGTCTACAGTTACCTTCTGGTACTTACCAACTTGGAGATGTCCTGTGTAAGGAAACGTGGCACCTCCATCCAACGAAACATGAACTGCCACATCACCAGCAGATAACAACGTAGGACTCACACAGAACGCCCTCAGCGATGACTCAACAGTTCCGCCGGACAGTGTGTTTTCAAATTTGCATACTACATTGGATGTGAAGATGTCGTAACAAGGCCCCTGTATGAATATTGTGTTACCTCCAAGCATTGTATCAATGGCAGGGTACAGATCGACATCCCCTGTCAATGGAAAAGAGAATGAAAATCGGTGAATAAAGCGTTAAATTAAAACATTTACAATGTACAGACATAATGTCGGATGAAATAGACCTGTTTTCAAAGAGCAAATCGACGAAAATTAAGGATAACATTATATTAACTCGAATGCACGAAAATCGCTTGCTGCCATCACTTCATTTACAAAGTTAAAGAAGAGGATTTAAAAGATCTGACAGCGGGAGAAAAGAAATCTTAGTGAACCTGATTGGATATTGTTCACTAATATTAAAAGATAAATAGATCATCTTTTACCAAAAGTTACATGCAACAGAAATTTTGAGGTTTTTTGATGATTTCTGACAAATTTTGATTTGAAAAAAACATTCCAGTCGAGGCTATCGTTCAGTGCTGTATTCGCCTAGCTCACAGCTTTGCAATCTAACAGATAAATTAATCATTTGAATTTATATCTCGGCCAGGAAGTAAAATTATTCACTCACTTGTATAGTAGAATAAGTCTAGAGGGGAAAGACTTGACAATAGCTTTAATGTTAGTATGTTGGTATTTATCAATCAAGATTCAAGATTCAAGATTAAAAAAAAAGTTTATTCGTCAAATGCTTAGCAGCCAAAGGCTGGATTGCACATTTGTTAGATTTAAAGATATACAAAATAAATTATTGAAAATAGATACATACAAACTAAATTGTAAAGTGCACGTTACAAACCAATAGTAAATGTTAAAAGTTTAAAAAGTGATGAGAGGCAGTGGGCATTCTCGTGGTGATGGGAAAACATGTCCAGGAGGTGGGCCCCTTCCCCTTCAAAAAAAAAAAAATCATCAAACGACTAGATTCGATTGCTAAAAGCTATACAAAAAGGGGATTATGCAAACTTCGCAAAACATCTACAAACAAAAAACACACACTCAAGGACCCTCTAACACACCCCCAATGACGAAGACACAAACCGCACACGCAGCACTCAGGCACATACAAATCAGATAACAAGCGCACAAAACAATATATATAAAGCGAGGAGCAAAGCTGGGAGAGCCCGGTTAAAGCCAAGGTGACTGAGACAGGTCCCCAGTTCCGCTTCCCAACACGGGAATTACTAAATAATGCACACAACACACCACACCCACTCAGAAATATAAAAGGCATAACAAGTCAACGCATGAAATATCTGATAAAAAGTGTTTTGGGGCTTACTTAAAAGTATACGTTGTATTTATTTGACTGCCATTGGTTCTATAAGGTTATATCAGCATTGAAGGGTGGAAATGGTTACAAAAGAGAGGATATTTCCACCCAATATCACTATGTCACTACGATGAAATGAAGATGACATGTTTTACCATGGTCTTTGCAGGCAGGATCTCTGATCGCGGGTAGATCCACTCTGAAAACAAACCGACCTGGCACGTTCACATTGGATAGCGTAGTCATGTTGATCACCTCTTCTGTTTGTGACGCGTGAACAGTGTATGCATGAATGCCATCCCCAGCGTTGAAGCCAATCTGCAGAAGAATCCACATTAAACGAAATGAGCGATGCGTTTATATTCCGCAACCTGTTCGCACTGGGGCATATCCTGTGGTCTTCTGCAGAATATAGACCGCCGCCCCCTCCCCCCCCCGGGGGGGGGGGGGGGTTAGAGATAGAAGCTGCCTCTGCATGCTTTCAATAAATGGGATTTAAATACGCCTTATTTGATTTGATTTTATTTTATTGGTTTCTGCATCTTTTTTTCATCATACATTTTCATGAACATAGTGGCAAGTTTATATAATTTTATAGAGATAATAAACGAAATTAAACAAATATATTGAATGCATAATTAACATACATTAGATGCAGGCGGGCTACAGAAATGAGCAAAGTAGCTTGACGTGCTCGCAGCCCTCAACTTAGATACAACAATAAAAATAAAAAATAAAAAAGAGTGACTTGCAGAGAAGAAAAGGAAAGGGGAGAGAAGGAGCGTTGGTAATAATACAATAAATATAATACATCTGCTGATTGAATGCAGGTTCATTCATGGATGGATAAACGATGCAGGGTCATTGACGATTACACACCATTGTTGAATGTGCAGTCACTGTACACACGAACATGAATACAGTAGATTTACACACGACAGGATCAACATCGTATTCAAACTACACCATTAAGTATAATGCTAAATATATATATAAGTATATATTATATTACTAAGAAAAGGAAATCAAGAAAAAACATGTTTCCTTGAAATTAAATTTAAATGAACATCAGTAAGGTATATGGATCACGAAACGATATATTCAATATATACCTGAGCTGGGATTCCCCCAAGTCCAGTAAAGTGGTTCGCACCATGGAATATGTCACTGGTCCACAGAAGGGTATCATAATTAAAGATTACACCACTAAACCGCTCACCTACGACTAAGATGCACTGGAAGGTATTGACCTGAAAAGAAGAAGGATAATGCCAATGATGAACAAGATGTGTTGAATATCAAAGTAAAACTCTACATTTCGACCATAACACCTGCTAAAGGCTTTAATGGATTTGCCCTCATCAAACAATTTCTGATTAAAAAAATAAAAATTATCGCACACCTAACGACCGGTATGGGACATCACTGTTAAACGTTTAATCATGTCAAAGCAATAATCATAAACAGTCCAGTTTCGGCCAGGATTTGCATTCTGTCTATTGAAATACAAGTATTTTAACAGGTGAATGAAATAATTTGTAACGAGGCACTTCAAAATGACGTGGAAACTCGGATGCAAACAATTTTCATATCTAATCTCTAGGTAAAGACGTGACCATCTGAAGCTGTGTGCAATGACCAGGTGCGACTAGCTGTCAACACTGGCACTTAATAGGGACTTTTAGATTGAGTGGACGAGAACACGACGAACGCCGACTGATCATGCGTGTCAACGTACTCAACTGCCCATGTTAACTACAATTAGAAATCTTTTTGAATTCACTCGACGATATATATGCACGCAGGAAGTTACACTAATATGACGGACAAAGAAAGAGGACAAAATATACAGTTCCTCATTCTCCCCTCAACAATTGCTGTGGTAGACAAAAGAACATCCCTTCCCTGCTATTATCATGTAAAAATGTGTAGAACAGGTGAATGTGCATGTGACACCTGTTCTAAGAAATCATAATAATAAACTTTATAGGTACACAACTTTTCAAGGGATATGACTCTTAGATTTTTTAATTTTTTTATACAAAATTGTAGTGGTTCATGTAGTGGTGTATTTGATGTATTATGTTCTGTTATGTCAAATAAAAGGTTAGATTATATCGTGTGTTATAGAGTACCGAAGCTGTGACATCATACAAATTTATCTTTAAAATTTCTCAATTTGTTCTTCATTTTCCAAAAGAGCATTATTTTGTATGCTCTTTTAGAAAGTGAAGAAAAAATAGAGAAATTCTAAAAAATAATTTGTTGATGACGTCGATCCGACTACGGACCAACGTGGAATGGGGGGGGGGGGGGCTATGAATGCTCTTTACTCCTTAATTAACCTCTCTCTTTCCATTAAGTGTCGGTCTGAAGGTCGTATTGTCTGTGTAGCCGGGGTATGCAGAAGTCTCGTGCAATGTTTTTGTTTTGTTTACACTGTAATGTAAAACAATATGACTGTAAGTGAAAACAATATGATTATCTTCTTTTTTTGCAAACAAATGTGACACGGCGGATTGTGACTTTGGGCGGTTGTGTTGAAATTAGGCGACTGGATAAGCCATAACTTACCCGTGTTGAATCGATCTGGGAATTGAATCCCACTTTATTCCACGATACCATCAGGATCCAGTCTGCCGAGAAACGCCGCTGATCCACGAATGATGATCTAATGATCTCATTCACTTGATCCAAAATGGCGTCATCGCTTCCCGCCCAAGACAGCTGCCGAAAACTTATGGCGCCAAAATCTCGGGTGTCCACATCCGCCCAATAAGGCGCCACGAAGGGCGTGCTCGCGATTGGTAAGGTATCGGTCGAAAAGCTCGGTAAAGGGTTCTTGAACGTGATGATACCATTTATGTTAATCTGAGAAAATAACATTTAAAAAGGTTTTTATCAACAAATATGGCTAGTTTACAAGTACTTTAATAATAAAAAAATAATAGTCACAATTTTTAAAGCGCCTAAAACTATGTTCCTAGGCGCCATGGTGTCGTTGTCCCAGCAGCCATAATGTAAAACATAGAGCTAGGGATGTTATTCTACCCAATAGAGAGCTAGGAAAACAGCACCAAAATTACAAATTTACATAATATATAATATAAAATATTGACATAATATGATCTACTAAATAGAAGCATAGACATAAACAAGCTGAATTGCATGGAGGGATTTGAATACGTGGGTTTTTAACATGGTTTTGAAAGTGTGTAGAGAATGAGCGTCTTGGATATGGGGAGGCACGCTATTCCAAAGTTTGGGAGCAGCGACATAAAGAGCCCTGTCACCGAAGCGCGTCTTTACGCGGGGACCGGGCATAATAGTTGGAGTTGGGAAGAAGTGGAAGTCCGCAGCCGGGAAGAAGGCGCCTTTGATTAGAAATTGTAAATGCTCTGTTTAAATAGCATATCTTCAGATTGCATAACTCATTTATATCTTTTATTCATTCTTTATAATGCCTTTTCATGTTTGTATGTTAGTACTCTGCCAAAATATAAGAAGAACAAGGGGGAGGGAAAAGGTGTTATAGTGATAGAAAAAGGACAATTACAATAGATTTCTCTTTCCACAGGCTTCATTTATCATAAAGTGAATTTTTCATGTCTTGCATTGCAAAATAGATTTGATAGTAAAATTAAGTCTTCCTTTAACACCGCTTAATAACTTACAAATCATGTGGTCCTGTGTGGGGTGAGACGGAGAATGGGGGCGGGGGAGGGAGTGGTTTGACATTGTATTTCTTTTGTATAGCTGTATTAACTTACGTAAAGACTTTGAAACTTCGTATCCAGAAACGTGAAAGGACGGTTTATAGGTACTTCATCATGTGTATATTCATCTGCATTACGAAGGAAAGTGTCCCCTTCTCCAGTACCAAAAGGTAGCACCACACCTAGAATGAAACGAACTTGGACGATTATCAATTTGATTTTATACTAGGCATATTCATTTCCAGGTGGAAAATAATATGAAATGAATAACTGTTTCAAAAGCAGAGCTCAAGTCAAGCAAGACTAATAAAACAGATTTCTAATGAATATAGAATGACAGAACATCGGTTTGTAACTTCAAAAGGGCCATTCCGGTGCTAAATTTGTTTGCTGACTGCATCGGATTATATCAGTTATTATCTCTCAAATGATATATGAGTTGAATAGCTACAACCGTGGGGTGCACTCCCTCTTTAACCTTTAAAACATCACATAATTGTTCAGTTTACTCATTCAGAAATGCCTCAGAATGTACCATAGAGCATCTTAAGGTTTCCGGGGCCCTTAAGTGGGCCCCGGACCTCACATCGTATTAACGATTCGCGCTCCCAATTTCGCACATTTCACGCGCTCCCCCCTTTCTGGAAAATCCTGGATCCGCCCCTGACTTCTGGAAGTTACGATGAGTAAGACTGGGTCGATGGAAGTTCGTGTTAACTTAATCGTGACAAGTTGGTCCGAGTAAGAGGGCATGGACAACTAATGGTGTATGTCAAATGTGCCAGGGATCAACTTACGCCGACTAGGAAGCCCCTGCCTGAACGTGGCTGTTTGTTCCTACCTAACAACACGTAACGTATGCAATTCGCATTCTGCCTATTGAAATATAATTATTCATAACACGTGAATGAAATTATTAGTAACGAGGCACTTAAAGATGAAGTTGAGTTCTGGTCATGCGATTGCATTGTGAAAGAAACGGAATCGACCAGAAAAGGTTGATCATCTAGCATATAAGAATTTGGTACTGGAATCATCAAAATGATAAGAAATTTGGCCAAGTCTTGGTAAAGTTACACACACTGTACACAGACAGATATATATGGGACTACACGAACACGTGGCGTAAAAATCCTACCCTGGATTTTTACGATGTTACATGACATATTTAGAATATGAAGGCATTTGAAGAGCCATGCTTTTCAGGGAACATGTCTTATATGATGTTCTTCCACACTTGCATAATAAGAATGATAACGCTCACAAATTATTTTTCAACCTTAAGATGTGTCCATTAAATTTGATTACATTAGGAAATAGTCTATTACTAGCATTTGGGCTAACTGTCGCCACAGGTATGACATAATAGATCAGCGAAGGTCATGACCAATTCGAAATGTGGCCTTGGTCGTCTGCAGCAGGCGTTACAATGAGGGGGTAAGAGGACACTTTTTTTTTTTTTTTTGGTCGCGAAATTTGAAAATTTGACATTTTGTTCCATTGGGGGGGGGGGGGGGGGTAAGGTCACCTTTTTTAGGTCAGCCATGGGAATAATTTGTTGTTGTTGTTATTATTATTATAAAATATAAAAAAAATATTTAAAAAACTACCACAGGGGGG